ATTGCATTCTGTATTTTCATGCTGGCCACATGATAACAGAAGTGTCTCTCAAGACAATGCAGGTTCCATCGGAGATGAGAATTGCCCCCTTGAGTCAGTCATGATTGGACGGGGAAACCTTTAACACCTTTCTAGACTCCTGAGCACCAATCACCTTTTTCAGAGGTTTGCAGAGGCATGAGTCATTCCTCAAATCTGCATGATAAAAAGCAGGCTTCAACCGAAATGACTAATGTTTGGGCTTTTTGAAAGGAAAACTTCTCAAATTCATCCCATAAATTGGAATAGCTATCTCAATTTACCCTGTTATTAATGTTAGAGCTTCTTATATATTTTCACAAGAACAGTGAATGTTGACTTTATATATATTCAATAAAGACATGATACACATTAAAGACATTTACATATATTAATAAAACTTAAATCCTGATCACACCATAGATCATAGATCTGCAGGATTGCAAATATTTCTAAAAGGTTCACAAACGTTTGCCCACAGTTGGATCTCAGAACTATTCCCCAAAGCCACACTTAGAATATGAAGAACAATTTATGGCTGTTATGGAAGTTTTTGTATATTGCCAAAGTATCAGGGAGCCTGATAGATACTAATAGGATTCCACTAGGTTTAGTGAAATTCACAGCCTAGTAAAAACACCAGCCCTACCCCATACTGAAAAATAATTGCAGTAATCACATTAAACTATATGGGTTGCAGGTAGGTTTTCTAGATAAACCAGAAGAGGCTCCTGCTTGTTTTCCACCCAGCCCATTAGGGAGACACATTTGTGAGCACCTGTGTGTTCTCTTCCATATTTCCATAAAATAAAGAGGCATCAAAGACAAAATCATATAGCTCAGAACATAAGGTGTCTGCAATGGAATGGAGGCAATGGAGATGATGTATCCTCATGAGTATGTCTTTTAAGAATGGTTAGTGAAGCATTTTAGTTACTAATTTCATATGCTGCCAATCTCATGGTTCAAGGTGACTCTGGGCAGCTTATAATAGAGGCATGCTGGCAACATGGTCAGATCAGAAGAAGAGCTCATTGATGGCAATAAAAATATGTACAATCTATCCAAAGAACAGAAAGATAAACACTCAATTTTTAGAAATTTTTATTGTAAAATAAGAAAAAATAGTGCCAGCTTTCTTAGGAAATATATATTTAAAAGCTCAGACTAGAGGTAGATTCATTTAAAAGGGGGGGGGGGATGATTTGGACTCAAAAACTTCACTTTTATATTGTAGCTACTTGAAGTACCAACTATACCTTACAACTATAAATGATTATCCCAGCCTTCAGAATGTTACAAGGGCCAGAATAAAAGGGGAGTCAAAATGTTTAGCAAGCAGAAACCCATAAAGTAGCTTTGTTGCTTCACATTTAAGCATAACATACCATGACTAGATTTGCTAGCCCTGCAAACTGAATCAAAATCCTGCAGACATACTTTTTCTCATTTTTCAAATGAATGAGGCAATGAAAAATACAATTGTTTCTCCAATACGTAGATGTATGTGCTGTGGTATTTCAAAATGTCTACTTATTGCTGAAGCAGCTTTTTGGATGAGAAGCGAAACGTCTTCAAAGAAAAACAGTTGCTTCAGTAAACTGGCCAAAGTCCGGTTGCTTCAGTCCAGTAGAATTTTTTAGGACCAAGACCCAAAGAATCATGTATTTTTGAACTCTAGTTCTTATCTGGATTCAGAAATTGAGAACACAATGCTTACCTTACAGAGAAGGTAATGTTGACTCAAAGTTTTTTTGCCTTTACCGTATTAATTCCCTGAAACTTTTCTAGTTATCATTCTATAAGGTAAGGATCAATAACTATTCAGATATCTCTGAACATCAACTAGACTAGAGCAAACTGCCCATCAGGATATGATCAGGGATTTGGAACAGTAGTACTTGGAGTATCACAGCTGCTAAATTTTCTCAACTTATGGAAGAGATGGCAAACACTACATTTAAGTATTATAGGATTAGCAATAGCAGTTAGACTTATATACTGCTTCATAGGGCGTTCAGCCCTCTCTAAGCGGTTTAGCATATCGCCCCCACAATCTGGGTCCTCATTTTACTCACCTCAGAAGGATGGAAGGCTGAGTCAACCCTGAGCCGGTGAGATTTGAACTGCTGAACTAGCAGTCAGCTGAAGTGGCCTGCAGTACTGCACTCTACCCACTGCGCCACCTCGGCTCTTATCTTATTCTAACCAAGATTAACATAGCTCAAAATTATTTGACAATTTTCCATTCACGCTCACTGGAGTGGAATGAAAGACGTAATTTAAAGGCCTTCATGGGTTGGGCTGGGTTACCTAAAGAAGAATCTTCAACGAGTTGCCCAATTCTATCAGGCAGGTTGTGCCTATAACAGGCATTCTAGAAATGTCAGCTGGCAGGGAGCAGGAGACTTGCCTTCTCTTCTACAGCCCCTGCCATCTGGAACATTCTTTCTTCAGGAATTACAATGACCAAGGCCTTGTTGGTCTTTTGTGCCTAGATCTGGGCCACTGGGAATGTGAAGGAACCTCTTTTATCTATATTAATATCCATGCCAATAATTTTACTCTGCATTCATATATATTTATTTTACATTGGTTTAAATTGTTTATGCTTTTACAATGCATGCTGCTCAGTCACTTGAGATGAGCAGCTACAGAAATCAAACCAAATTAAAAAAATAAATAAAACATACTTTGCTTCAACAAGGTTTGTACATTATGAACTTTCAAACAATCTAAGTCTTCTGCGTTATCCAGAAGACTTTATACAATACTGAATTTATTTATTTTCTATTTAAATAAGTAAACAAGAGCAGGTATAACTGATGCTAGATAAGTCTGCAAAAGCATCCTGTGAAAACAACCACAATTTGGAAAATTATGCAAGAGTCACTGATCCTGACTTTATTCAATTTATAAGGTACATCCAACATTCATTACAGCTCAGGTGCTATTTAAGTCATTTAAAAAAAACGACTTTAGACTTTTCTATTCTTAAAAACCTATGGAGAAAATATAAAAATTAATTTCCTGGCACTCAGTTGAATGTCAATTTACATACAAATTATAATTCCAACAAAGATTCTAGACTCAACTTTAGTTGAAGTATCACAGTTAACACCCATTAACCAAATACCTTTCAATATTGATAACAAGGGTTATTAAGATAAATCAGAAATCTTCAAACAGTAGTGAAAAGGCACTCCTCCTTAAATCTTGCAAATGTTTTAGTTTTAAATTCAAAAGCATCACATTTTTAAAATATACAAGCAGGCAAAGAAATATAAGGATCCTGCTAGATCATAATGAAGTTTTATGTAATCCATCCCAATTCGCCTCACTGGATAACTGAGAAATTCTATATACAGGATATGAGGCAAAACTCCTGTCCAGTTGTCCCTGGTGAGGTCATGTAATTGTCATAAAAACTGCCTGCTCTATGGGCTTAACTTTAAACATCAATTTGGCAATCTGTAATCATATTTGGTAATGATGACTACTATGTACTATGAGTACACTTCCCTCCATCTTTCAAATTAATCAGCTGACTCCAGATTCTATAATTCTTTAACTAGACACACACACAGTATTTGCAAAAAAGAATGAGATAGGTATTAATAACTTTATTGCAATCTCTTTTCTAATTATTTCATAACTTCTTCACAGAAGGAAAGTAATTTTTACACATATACCCACCACCACATCAAGATTCATTTTTAGTATTCACCAGTTAAATCCTCATTCCACACATTAAGTATCTAAACAGCTTATATGGCCACTTATTTTGCATCCGCAATTCTGGGCAGCTAACAACATGAACAAAAAAATTAAAACAAAATAAAATTATGATTTTTCTTGTTGCCTTGCCTTGCCTTACATCACTCTATACTTTGTGGGGGGGAAATAGTATTTGCCATTTAAATTCCAATTTATCCAATGCAGACCCGTGCTTGTATGAGCCCTTTTGTTTAAACCACTCACCAATAACTGGTGTCACCATCAAATCTGAGCCCACGCTGTTCAGCATCAGCTCCAATAAAGATTATCTTCATAATATTCAATTGCAAAACTTGTCCACTTATTTCTATTCCCACGTCCTTGGTCAAAAATTCCAAATGCTAAAGCCCCATGTCCTCTTAGTCAATGATTTTTGTAATTTATCCAAAGCCCCTTTTGAAAGATCCCAATGAATACAATAACCTTCTTAAATAATTCTGTTTTAAGGCCTGAAAAAACTGACAAAATGGATACCAACTACTGCATGAAGATCACCAAACTTTCTGACAGCTTGGTTTCTGGGTCATTCCTGAAATTGGTGAATACTCTGATAGGAAGAACATACAATGGGTATCCTTTTCCAAAACTTAAAGTACAATGCGGGGGGGGGGGGGGGGGCGCAGAATGTAAGATTATTAAAGTTTTAATAGCTGCGCTTTTTCTAACGTTTGTGTTTTCATTTAAATGGGTAATACATACATAATTCATTTTTACAATTTAAAGATTTAACTTTCTTAGTACAGTACTGAAAGCTAGCATTACAAAAACTCTAAATAGGTTATGGCAATGATAATGTGCATTTACACTGCAATGTTTTCCCAAAATTACATGCATTAATATGGCATCTTGATATATTTTAATAATTTTTATTAGACCAATGCACAAAGTGAACACCAAAATGCAAAGGAAAGCTGGCTAGACAGCTAACCTAAACCCAATTAATACAAATCTCACATTTATCTGTGGGATTTGTCCCTTGTAACCAGACAATGAAATTCTTATATGCATGGAGATATTCAACTGGGAGAACCTATTTGTGATTTAATATTCTATGATATGTTCCATTACATTAATTCAACTGTGCCCATTTCTTTTACAATACACTTAATTAGGACAACAAATGATTTTATAACACAATTGGCCATGACGCTTGCATGAATTCATACTATTGTTAACAGAGAAACCAAAAAATTCAAATGAAAGAGTCACTGTTATAATAACTTTAATTTTTCTTGCATTTTACAGAATTCTATGAACAGATTAAAAAGCACCTCCCTTCTCATCACTTGACAGTTGGTAAAATATTCAGTTAGCAAATGCCAACAGCTTGAGGATCTGATCTTGCAAGAATCTCACAGACCAACCCAAAGCAAAGCAGCTTTTACTATCTTGTTTTTAATACATCGGAAATCCATTCATTCAGGTTGTAAGCCTGTCCAGCCATTTGCACCCAAAATTCAGGGTCAACCAGCCAACTAGTTAGCTTTGGCACGGAGCTGTGCTCTCTTGCCTGTGACAGCCTGGAAACCAGTTTTAATGCTGGCAACAGAACAGCGTGAATGGCAAGTCTCACACTGCAAAAAATATAATCTGGTGTCCTTCTGCAAGATTGTGTCTGGTGACCGACATGTATGACAGGTGACATATTCCTCTGTGGGAACAATTAAATAAGTTATATTAGCAATAAGAAATTATAAACAAATAGTAAACACATTTTTTATCCACTATACATTTATCATTCACATGATCAGGTAATTATCGAAACCAACTGCAAACTTACTAGACTACAAAACATAAAAGTAGTAAACAGAGTATTTATCTCTTTCATTGCAAGGTTTAACACCCCTTAAAATATACATTTTTCTGCCCATTTACTGCATGCACCTCTATATCACACAAAAGAAGTAGAATGTTTTGCAAGCAGCTTACAAGATGGGAGAATTGACTTTTGGCTTTGGCAGATACAAAAGTATTACTGTATTAACAACTGTATTAACAGTCAACCTTTTTTCAATCTAGCACAGAATTGTGAAAGGAAACATCAACATGGTTCACTGTTAACATCTGTCTGTTCAGGATTAAAATCTAACCATTCTATTAGCTTTTTTCACTAAGTTTACATCACTGTCCATACTGTACAAAATAAGCATTCTAAATGATCAGCAACATTTGCCAGACTTCCTTTTCAATATCCCATTATTCAGTCTTCTGTATTGGAGATGTTTGAGATCTTTAATAGTGCACCTCTATAATCTTTCAATAAGAGCTGACAATAGAACATGGAAATAACCACATAACTTTTATATCCTTCAATTCAATTGCTTCCATGCGGTAACATTACATTTTGTTACCTCATGGAAACAAAAAATACTATTACATCAACTAAAACCAGAATGAATAATTTTTAGTATATAACCAAAAATGTGCATTTTCCCACACAAACATGACTATCCAAACATTCATTTTATAATTTTTCTATATGCCACCTCATCAAAGATATAGCAGGTAATTCCTCAAAATGACGCTTCTGGTTATACTGTAGCACTTTTTCCTTTTTGACAACCAGCAAAAATAAGGTACTTTCAGAAGATTTTAATGAAACTACAAGATGATAATTTTGGCACTACTAATACTTATGTAAGAAACAAGATTAAAAACTTTTAATGAAGCAGCATAAATCAGCAATTATAGAATACACTTACTGATATATCTTCTCAAGACATTTTCTATCTGTTTTTGTTGGAATCTTCCTTTGATTACAAGTTGGTTGTTGCCATCTATTGAACCACTGAATAAAATAAAAATATTAAAATTAGAATTGCAAATTTTCAACGACACAAAGGCTTCAAAGTTTCCAAAATGCTCACCACAATACATGCAAATCTTTGTTCAAAGGCTCTTCATTTACGGCAATCTTTTATCAGATGGTGAAGCTAAGCACATTCCTAAAGATTGATAATTTTATAACCAAAATAGGGCTACACAAAAATATGCCAGTCTAGTGTAGTGTTATAAAGGCACAAACCAGAAATTGTAAAACTAAGAATTCCAGTTCTGCCCCAGGCATGAAGCCAGTTGGATGACTCTGGGCCAGTAATTCTGTCATATCCCTAGGAAGCAAGCAATGGCAAACTACTTACAAAAATGTTGCTACAAAAACTGCAAGGACTTGCCCAGGAGTCAAGACTGACTCAACAGCGCGCGCGCACACACACACACACACACACACACACAAATATGTTAATATCCTTGGCACATCCTATAGATTTTGTGGAAATACAACAGCTATTTTCTTTTAAATGCTTTTGGCGAGCTAAAAGAACAGCTAAAAAAATGCTATAGGCATGTGTTGCCTTCTAGGGAAAAAAGCACAACAGAAAACCCAGTAGTCAGAGGAGACCATCTATGATAGAAATGGAACAGAGTAATAAAAGAGAATAAATGCAACATCTATGTATCCTTCTTATCCCCACATTGCAGACTAAGCCAAAAAAGTGGCCGTTGCAGACAAGAATGGCAATCAGTAGTGCTAGCAGAATGTTGCTGACTGATAACTTAAAAGTGTACAAAAGTTGTGAAGGTTAGAAGTGGTATCCAAGTTAATCTGGGTTCCTGATCAGAAAGCTTTTATATCTTATAAGTTAAAGCAAAATAGTTTTTCTTTAAACTTTTCTCTAAGGCCACTTAGGGAAATTGTTATATTTTTCAAAAGTTTGAATACTTGTATACAAATGTATGTGTATCAGTATTGTGTATGTATGTTTTGCATAAGTAGAAAGATGTAAGTTCAAGCCATAATTCCTTTATTATTTTGAACTTCTCAGTCAGAGACTCCCATTACACATAGACACATCAAGGGAAAACTGTAACATTAAACAGTCAGCCTCTACTTGACCACAACTAAATCTATACTGCAAAAAAGAGCTTGAATTAATATATCAGTCAACTAGGTAATAAACAGTAGGCTCTAGGAGGACATTATCTACACCAGACAAACTCAGCAAAAGTGGACATTTAGAGCTAAGAGTGGGAACCAGAACTTTCATTTTGTGAGAAAAATCTACAGCAGGAATTATATCCGATTTTACTATGCAATCACTTTATGTATAGATAACTGGTTATTTGGTAAGTATCTCGTGAAATTTGACTTTCAGCATTTAAATATTAGCAATATTACAATAATCAATCAAGGGTGGGTTGGAAACTTAATGTACAAATAAATATATGAAGAGAAGCTGGTGAAAAATTCCATTTCCTTAAAGTTTAAATTTTTAAAAAGTACAAAAATAGTTATTTCTAATATAGAGACTTCCTTTAGATTTTCACCCTTGAAGATTTGGTGAAGGTCTTTTCACCTTCTGAAGGTGAAGTCCATTCTGAACGTCTTCCAAGGTTTCTATATGTACATAAGAATGTGGAAAAGAAACCACTTGTCAAGAATTCATCAAAGCAGTAGCATCAAATATTTAGGAAGGCACAGCTGCCTTGATGAGTGGCACTTGGCTGAAAAAAAAGTTCCACCTGAATTATTTGCAGTTTTATTAAAAACACAAAACCTACAAGTTGTACATTAAATTCTATAACATTATATAATCATTGAAGCACAAGTGACTTAAACCAATTTTTAAAATGGCTTACATCGGCACTGTTATTTTTGAAACAATCAACTTGTTGCAGAGATGTCATAATCTTTGTACAAAGGCTATTATCAAAAATTTAGAAATATTCATGAAGAATAAATATCACAGACACCACTAAGTTTGAAGTACTTACCTTGTACCCAATTCTGCCAGCAAAAAAGCCAAGAGATGTTTAGGTTGACGATGTAATCTAAAAGTAAGGAAGTTTATCTAGTTATCAAAAGAACAAATACTTAATTGTACTTAAATACTTACATCTCTTTTATTATCATAGTGTAGCATCTGGCATGTGCAATGCCAATACAAATAACTGATTTTTTTAAAGGATGTCTTTTTAGTATATTTGAAGAAGATAAAATAGGAGTTAGTAAAAAGAAAGTAAGGATAGCTTAGGCCACCACACAAGATAATAACCTCAAGGGAAGCATATTAAATGTGTTCATAAACTCTGAGGTAGCAAAATGATATATTTCTCTAATATCAAATATGGCAATGCAATGTAAGTTACAATAGCACATTTTGTTTATCTAAAGAAAACTGTTTGCAGTAATGTTTCACATGAATGATATATAGACTTCCAGTAAATGATTTACACAACAAGTCAGAACTGAACTGTCTGGGGCTTCACATGTTTGAAATGTCATCTCAACAAACTAGGTACAGTTTACAAATGACAATGAATAGATTTCTATCTCAGAGTAAGTCAAAACCAAACAAAACACCTGATGCCAGTACCATTATAAAAACATCCAGCTATTATACAGATAACCCTCAGGGCCACTATTGTCAGAAATTATGATGGCCATTAAGGACATGATTGTGTCACTTAGAACTCTTTGATCCCAACTTAGAAAATAACTTTATTTCAAAATGATAATGCTCTTATCTACTTTGCTGAAAGTATTCAAGCATTTAACTAAATGTTTGCATGCAAGCTAGCCTCAATTCCAATAACTCATTATACCTTGACTCTCCCAAACTTTAGATGTTGAGTCTACAGGTCTGAAGAAAAACTGTTAAGGATGTAGCTAAGAAATCAGTATTTCCTGGTAGCTATTGTTTTATATTAGTTTATTATTATTCCTCTTAATTAATCATTATTCTGTTGGTTCCAAAACACTTCCAGTTATTAGCCCAATCTAACTAGGAATTTTCCTAGTACAAATGAACAGGAATTTCACAAAAGCAGATAAACCATATTCACTTCACTAGATTGGCTAAAAAGAATTCCCAGTTGATCATTTAATGAATCATGTACGCATGCAACAGTCATTTCAGAATAAGATATTATCTGCACTTGCAGAGGTATTAACTGTTTTGTCTATGTAAACTTACAGTTCATAACTGAACAATAGCAATAACACAATTCCTTGACCCCAACTTTTACTAATTCCTGTCCCAAACTGCAATATAACAAAACTTACAGTTTACAGATATCTGTGAAGTTAACAAATGATGTTTTCTTTGTTCCTACTCTTACAACCTGGGGAGGTTTCATAACAAATTTTCTTTTTTCACCAGCTACCATATCAGGATTTTTTTCCCTCATGATGTTAAATACACGATTCAGCAACTGCGGGGAATAAAAAAGAATATCAAAAATCAATTAATATTGATTAACATACAAATTAATACTAGTACATTCATGTTTTATTGAATTTATTTACCTGAGGAAAAAAGCATAAAATTTTCTCTGAATTAGAAAAGTTAGCATAGTAAGCTTTAAAAAATTCTCCTCCTCTACAAATTGTTTTATTTAAAATACGCATATTCTACTCAGAATTCCAGAATCCTGAGGCAGAATAAAAAATTCAATCTAAGATAATAACTAAACTGTATTTCTCTTCATTTCAGTATAAATCCAAAGCAATATTTAAACTCAGATTATATTATGATCCCCACAGATTATAATAAAAGACCCATAGATGGATTGGTAAAAAGGTGTGAAAAGTATTTACCTCATCATATGTGTAATCTCTTTCCGAGCCTGCCCATGCAGGTCCCGACAGAGAGTTAAAAGAGATTCCATCATCTTTATTGTTGTCACCATCCAAATCTGCAATTACAAACATTATTTCAGACCCCATCAATTTCCATTCCACAATGTGCACAGAATATTTTTATGTGACACGTACACATGTATTTTTGACCAGAATCTCCTACATTAGACCCTTTGCTAAATGAGGAGATACTGGGAGGAAAGGGAAAGTTAATCCAAATAGTATTAAGAATAAGGTGAGGCATAACATTTGGAAAGGCAAATTTATCTTTCCTCTCTTTACACCTAAGTGTTAGAAGTTTCCAAATATGTTCAAATAGAAAATATCCTTATCCTTTATCAAACAAAATTTAATACCTGTTTGAGTTTAAGAATGTACTTTTGGTTCTTATTTAGTTGGTGGTGCCCATGATATCTGAGTGAGTACACAGGCATGAGATCTGAGCTTTCCAAATTGATTACAACTATGAAACTGATGGTTAATAAAATATATTGTACTGGTTTACAATGCTATATAAGGTCTTTTTGAAAATGGAAAACCATAAATCACAGATTTATTGGAATACCTATACAGAATTATGTTGCTCTAAAACTGTCCCCACACCTTTCAAATACTTTCAAGTATTGTTTTGGATTTTGAAAAGGCAAATGGGAGAGATATGGAGATCGGGACCAAAGAGAACAAAGATGAAAAGGACTGCATAACTAGAGATTAGAGAGCTTAAAGTCTAATTGAAGCACTCATTTATTGGAGTCACAAATTAAATTGCTGTGGCTAATGCAATGTAGAAGACACTGTAGCACCCTATTGTGGCACCCTGTACAGTAACATCAGTGAAAATGGTCAATGTTATATTAGACCAAAGTTTTCTCTACACCACTGGAGCATTTGACAGAATGCTAATAGCTGCAATAGCTTGTCTTCCACCCTGACTATAAAATCAAAATATAGTTACATTTTTTGTATCAACCTTCAGCATGATCAACTTTGACCAATAGTAAGAGACCACAAAAAAAAATTACCTTCCTCTTTATCTAATTCTTCAACCTCCTCTGTAAACTTTGCCGTCTTTCTTTTTTTCTTCTTTCCTAACATGATATCAAGGTCCTCATCTTGTTCTACTGTTTCTTGTACATCACTCTCAATTTTTAGGTCCTTGAGAACAATTGGTAGGGTAGGGAAGAGGAAAAAGAAACAAAATTAATGATACAAACAGCAAACATAAAATAATGTGCAATAATTTAAAATATACATCTCTCTGTTGATCATGACAACAATCAACTAATTCAGAGGTCACCTATGAAGCAAAAGTCTAGGTGATGTATTAAAATGTCTTTAATATAATTTTGGTTTTTTACTGATAATATACAGTAGCACATTTCTTCTTTTTTTTAAGCAGCAAGTACAATATACACTGTTATTTGGGGCTGGGGGCGAACCTAAATCTTACATTAGTAAGATGAAGACACAAACATGCCCTTTAACCCTGTGTCAACTGACCTTCAGTCCCTCTTCAGTTTCATCAACATCAAATATCTTTTTTGCTTTTTTCTTCTTTTTCTTCTGATTAAAGAAGGTTAAGACATCTAAATCTTTTGATGCATCTGAAATGGAAAGGCAGCACATTACTAACATTCAGATTATTTTATGATTTGAGTATGGAAGAATATATTTATCAAGAAATTTAAGCAAGCTTGTGACAATGAAGTTAGACAACTTCAATAGTAGAACACATGAGAAAAATGAAAAACTAAATTAGACTATTTCAATAATGTATAAAATGTTGATTTAGACTTTTGCACATTATATCTAGTAGATCTCTATAACTAAGGATGTAATAACTGAGAAGCAAGCTATAACAATTAGTTCCCAATATAAACATGACAGTCTGTACTTTTTCAGACATGCTTATCACAAAATCCTTGCGTTTACAACTTTTAATTCAATGCCTTATTGGCCTTAACAGTAATAAGTCAGAGAGGAAAACATAATTATTTTAAAGCCAGACTATAAAATAAAAATAATTCTTTATTTGTATTTATTTAATTAATTTATATGCCACCCATCTTGTTAGTCAAAGCTTCCTCCACTTAATTTCTCATGAAATTTAATCATGAAACACAAAAATGTAAATAAAGAGTCCAATTTTAAAATGTTAACAGTTGGCTCATACTAATGAACTAAAAAACATAGCTAACAATCTGTTTAATATTTTATATGAAACAAAGCAAACCATTAAACTACAGCTGTATGAGATAATATGTGCTTCAAACTGTATGTTTCAGGCAGTTTGAAGACATACACTGCAATTGTAAATTTTAAATGACCTTCTCTCCATGAAAGTCAAGCCAGCAACACAAAGTTATTCATTTCTATCTTCCATGGATAATAGTAAGAGAGCAACATGTTCACAGCCAGCTAGTGAGCAAAGTCTGAATGCATTTTCCAAACATTTTATTGGGTATTCTGCTGCTTAATATATGGGCTTCTCTAGAAAACTGGTAAAAAACACAAATTAAATGTTGCATCTTTATAAGCATGTTTTCTTGAGAAAAATAAAAAAGAAACAGAAAACAGGATTTCTAGTAGATATATAATAACTTACCTTTCTTTCTGAAGTCCTCTTCATCAGCTTCTATATCTTTGTCTTCCGCTGGTTCTGGCTCTACTTCTTTTGTTTCTAATAGTTGTGTCTCTTCTGTTTGTGCATCACCACCTTCTTCATCAAGCATAAAAGGCTTCTTTTTCTTCTTCTTCTTCTTGCTCATAGTAGGGTCGAAGATCATCTGCAAGAAACAACAGTATTTTCTTAACAAAAATTTGCAACCAAATAATATCCTCCAGATTTATAAGTATACATATAAATATAAACATTAGATTATCAATCAAACACAACATAATAAATGGGTTTATCAAATAAGATCTCTACCATGCCGTATGTACAGAATACATTAGGAAATAAATAAAAACTTAATATAGGAAAAATAGAAAAGTTTTCATAACTTAAACAGTGATATAATCTACACAACCCAACACACCAAGATTGGTTTCCCAGCAATTTAAAGATCTACTAGTTTTAACAATTGTTAATAATTCTACGAAAACATATGTAGCTTTTTAGGCACCGTTTGCTAAGTTCCAGAAGGAATAGCAACATCTGGTATTCAAGCATTAGGTAGTAATTTGTGCTTCTCACACTAAATCATTAATCTGAAAATAAACACAACTTCATCTCAATTATCAAACTGTTCATATAACCACAAAACTATTGTAGTTTTGAATCCTGTAGAACAAGAATAATCTGATATTATGGACTTTTCTCACCAAACTCATTCTGGACAGTCTTCCAAAAATTCAGATCAAATGTTGAAGGCAATCCAATACCTGTGTATTCTAGCTGAAAACTGCAATCCCATGCTTATTTTTCAGTAAATTACACTGAATGGAGTGGGATTTTTTGCTAGAAAACATATATTTGTGCCAAACCTATCTAGATCTCTCAATTTTTCACACTCCCATACAGAAAACAAAGTTTTGTTTATGAAGATCATCATCTAAACCAGTGGCTCCCAGCTTTTTTTGGTCATGCCCTATCTAAGCATCTCTAAAATACTAATGCAACCCCCACCCCCACATATAATCCTTTCTTTACTCAAAAAGTGAATTCTACTCACACAGAGGAAGCCTAAAAGGTCATTAACTTGGTTTAAAGAGGGTTCAAATTGCCCCCATTAAAAACCAAATTCCCCCCTGTGGGGCATGGACCCTACATTGGGAACCACTTGTCTAAACTATTACAAGCTTAATTATAATGCTCTACATCTGAGAGTAGTAATATAATGGAATCACACCGCACGAACAGGTTATACAGGACTTTTAAAAACAATCTTTCCTTTAAAGGCATCTCCAAACATACAAACATATTAATTTACTTTTAAAGACAAGAAGCTAAGTCTTTGAATGCATTTAATATTAGAAACTAGCTTTAATATTCTTTTTGTAGACAACAAAAAACATCTCAAATATCAACTTAACAGTAGTTAACTGTCCACTTAATGCAGAGACAGGCACTTGTCTAAAATCAAAGGGCATAAATGTAATATTGAGATAATTTTGCTGGATCTCTCAAAATATCATCCAAGTTGATGCAGCTATCACAAAATACTTTTTTCTCCAAAAGGAAGCTGGAGACTAGCACTCTCTTGTATTCCAGTCTCCTTCTGATTTTTAAAATTAAAACAATCTGTTAAAAATTAGGTAGGTGATTAACCTGATTAACACCAAGTATCCACAAGCATCAGAATGACCATCCCTGATTTAATGTCTCTTTAATATCTAGTAAAGCATTACTATTGAAATATCTGCAGTTCTGAAGAGATATGTATTTTTTCACCACACACAAATTAAACCTATCCTAATAATATCAACAGTGGTCAAGATAGGATAACAAATATCCAGTGAGCCAGTCAATAAATTGGACTATAGAACAGGGAGGAATTCTTCACATGTCCCAATGTTGTTTCAATTGGTAAACTTTTTAAAACAGATAATGGGGCATGAAAGCTACAGGCAGGAGAAGAAAAGACAAAATACCCATACATTCATTACCTTCAGTTGGTATAATACAATCACATTTTCATCTCATGTAAAGTACTTTGTTATACCAAGATTAAATTAAATTTATTTTGGCTGGAGAGCAAACCAAATTTCTACATTTTGGACTTATGATTCATATGCCACCAAACAGTTGTAAACAAAGAAAAAAACATGTGTCTATTCCTGAATTCATAATATTTCAAATAAGATTATGTTCATCGTTACATATGGAATACAGATCTATATGAACAATACTGGCACAAACCACATTATTTAATGACTTTAAAAAATTAAATACATTTATAGCCATCTTAACTGCACCAGTATAACTGACATTTTGTTATTATTAAATCATTTATTTTATGGAGAACAGAAAAGTTCTAAATATTTGGAAACCTATCGTTTTTCATCCTTCTGCAGGCATTATTTTTAGGAATAATTATTCCTAAAAACCCTTATTTTACATCTGTTTTCCAAGTGTTTCTGTTATAAAGAGGGACCCTAAAATGAATCATTCCACCAACCAAACTGAATCAGAAACCAATCATGCATAATTTTAATAATTCACTGGGAGTTGAAAATATGAACTGACAGTTGAATAATAGCTTATTCTAGGGGTTTGGATTTTTATCTAATCAAACTTGCTTAGGCAAAGCAACTGCCAAATCTCACTCTTGCTTTATGGCATGCCTTCAGTGAAAAGTCGCAGTAACAAAGTTTGTGACATGCAGATTAAATTTTAATGATCAAAAGTGGTGTATTTATTTTCCAAATCCAAACCTGAAAAGAAATTAGTTCAATTCACAGCAAAGCACATGAAGTCATTTTATGGAGTAGCAATACCATAAAGTTTGACAACACCAGCTTTATAAATAATGTAGAGGTCTACTCAAATTGGTTTTATATTCTAATCTATTACTAATTCATATTCCGTATTGCCCAGAATTTCTCAAGGGCTGAAAGATAAAACAAATTTCCCTCTGCAAAACTAGTTTCCACATTTAAGAATTGAAACATATTTTCAAAAACAGGAAGAAATTGATTCACATACTTAAGAGGAATATTTTAAAGGATCATAGCAAAAGCTTCCAAATATAAAATTCCTTTTAATTTAAAAATGAGGCATTTTCCCTTTAAATAGGAAAGCCAAGCAGGTTTTTGCTCAGGTATCAGTAGATCTTTAGAAATCATCAGAGCACTCAGGCTGAATAGGATTCCGGTGGAATATTAGGATTATTCTGCCCATGAAATATTCTAGGGAGTTCAAAATTACGTTATTAATTTAAATGTATTGGGTCACCCAACTCTAATGGAGCCACAGCTTCTTCTGGATATATTAATAATGTGAGGTGTCTTGATGCTCCTTCTAGAGATCTGAAAAATTATCAACAATTACTCTGGAATAAAAAGAGACACCAGAGTGCTTGCAAGCACAGATTCAGTCTTCTACTGAATCTGAAAGCAGCGCTTCGGTTATTACAAATTTGAGACGTTTTGAATAGACACCAAATCGGGCCGCTAGACTAGCAGCAACCTCATAGGGATCCTTTTAAGACTGGAACCCAAAAGCGAAGATTTCCGAGCCAAACACGCCATACCCAAAAATCAACATTTCATCAGGCAGTATAGCAGGGAAGACGCTCCTCCATTCAAAGCACGTTAGACGCATCCCGCAACCGTGTCTGTCGTATTGCCTTTTTAAAAACAGCGGGCGGGGGGGGGGGTTAATATAAAACTTTCCTGCTTTCTCAAATGAACCGCAGTGGGAAGGAGGTGGCATTGACCGCGGGAAAGGGGGTTAATGGATGGCTCCCTTAATTAAACGGGGAAGAGCGGCCAAGGACAAAGGAGAAGTTTCCCTCAAAAACTGCTCAGGTGAAAAATAAGCCTGGCTCCTAAATGTACCACATAGACTAGGAGAAGGGAGATGGCTTTGCTCAGGGAAGCCAATTCAACCGGGCTCTCATCAGAGTGCGGGCAGGCCTCAGGCCCGGCTCCTCACATGGCGGCGGCGGCCACAGCCCCAGCCTCACGCCGCCGCCCCAGGCCTGGGCACCTCTCTTGTCCTCACCTCGTCTCCCGACATGGCGACGGCTCTCCCTGACCGTCAATGGAGAAACTTAGAAGCGCCCGTTTCGGGGGGGGAGGGAAAAAAACCCCACAACGCCGCCCAGGAAGTCAATCGCTCCGGCTCGTTCGCTCAACCCGTCCTGCTCGCCTAGCCGCCGCCGCGCTCAGCTCTTGCATCAGCAGCAAGGGAGGAGGAGACAGAGAACAGCGTGTTTGTCCCGGATGGGAGCATGCGCCGCAAGCCCTTCTTCAAGGCTCTCGGGAACTGTAGTCTCACTTTTGCGCACGCGCAACAGCGACGGAGCTGGGTGGAATCCCGACCGCAACATGTGCAGTTTTGAGGAATAGGGAATGTGAAACTGGTGAGATCACGGGGAGAGGGGGGGGAGAGGCGGGCTCGCTTGAGCACGTCTCTTCCACACAAGTGGCTCCAGTGATTGGTGGAGTGCCTGATCCTTTACAGTTACGCTCTTTACGCAAGGGCTGCGTAGTTTCCCTCTTTCACAAAAGGCAGGAGACTAGGGGGCGCTACGAAAGCGCCCGAGCCTCGCTTTTGTTCCGTCCCTTTCGGAGGGAAAAATGTGTGATTTCTAGCTGTGCTTTTAATACATCTACAGCTTTCTTATTATTATGAAAACTAAGATTGAGTTCATGCTTGGCACTTGTGGGAGTGTTTTAAAAGTTTGAAATCCAATAGGAACGTTTGGCTACACTCCCTCCTTAAAGTAGTGAAATTCTCTTCTGAATAGGGCTGTCCCTTTGCTGATTATGTCTACATTGGTTTCTTTTTCTTTTTACTATAATTTTATTAAGATTTTAATCGTCATGAAAACTAACAATTCTAATATTTAGAATAAAACAAAGCCAAAACTGTAAAAAGAAAGGAAAGAATATAAAGAAGTAACTTCTGATTTTAAAAATTTAAAAGCATAAATTTATCTCTTAGTCTAAGTTTACAAGATAACTTCTATTTTTATTTTATTTTTTCAAACATCAAAACCAGGGGTTATAATTTCATTTTTCTGATTCATGTAAAAAATTTGTAGGAGGTTTCTTGTCAATAGTAAACTTTTAATGTCTTTTTTCTGATCAAATACATCAATTTGGCCATTTTGACGACTCCCCTCACCTTCACTGTACATTCCTCCATTGTGGCTAATATTGAATCTTTTCCCCTTTGCACATATCTTGCTGCAGTTCTATATTTTAAAAAAAAGTTCCATGACTCTTGTTCCAACTGTTTATCGATCAGCCCAAAGGAAAACCTTAGATTTCAATTGTGTATTACTGTTTAAAATCTTCTGAATTAGTATATGTATTTGAATTCATTTTTTTACCTTTTTTGCACATCCATCAAGCATGATAAAATGCCCCCTCTTGTTCATATTTCCAATACCCGGACCTAGGCCCGTGACGACGAACCCATGGCACCAGGGATGGGTTGCCAATTTTTTTACTACCGATTTGGTCGCACTCCCGCTCGTGGGTGGGCTGAGCCTTCCACCGCTGCTAGTACCAGTTTGCCCAATCCAGGCCGAACCAGGAGCAACCCACCTCTGTATGGCACATCCTCTGTACGCATGCATGCCGTCGCCAGCTGCTCTTCTAGTTTCCAACGCACACATGTGAGTGCCGGCCACCTGGTCTTCGGGTTTCTGGTGCTCTAGCACATGCATACACATACTAGGTTGGATACGATGCCAAAAAGGTCACTGCCCTAGACTTTTAAGGCCCACCATGATGGCCTTCCTACTTATCATGGTCTATCTTTGGGGCATTCTTCACTGGCAAAATGGGCAGCAAATAAATTTTATAGTTATGGGTCTGATGCTTGGAAAATTGTGTCCATTTTCAGGCCAGTTGATTCGGCAAGTAATATGCTGCACACTCCATAGCAGATTGATTTCCATGGCCACCTTTTTTCTATTTCCATGTTTGTTTCTGGGCAAGTACTCGGCAATATATCTTTTTTAGTTTCCCACATCAGTCTGTAGTTTCCAGATTATTGGAAGTTCTTCAATCTGAATAACAATATATTTTTAAATGTACATGCCACTTAATTCCCAGCAACTCTGAATGCTGATCAAATCTACATTGCGAGGTTTTCAAGGTAAACCACAGTTAGCTGGATGTAGCTTCTCCTTTAAATCAACCTCAATTCCTGGGACATATCCACAGAATTTTCTTAAATAGGTGCTGCTGTTTGCTGAGACACTACTTGCTTTAGTCTTTCATGAAATACAGCCTTTCATTAAATACATTAAATTTCAGCCTTAGTACATGGCCTGTATCAAGCTTGCTCAAAGTCTAGTTAAAACGTATTTTAAAAATGGCTGGCTTGGGTGCTGCAGTGCTAGCCCTACGGCAAGAGTGTCAACTCAAGACCCGGGGGCCAGATCCAGCCTGCAGGGTGGTTAGATCTGGCCACCTTGGAAATAGCGAAGGACTGGTCTGCAGTGCTTCTGCCAGCAAAAACAGGCTCCTGAGCTCCATTTTCAGCTGCCATGGCCTCCTGCAATCTTCTGCCTGTGGAAATGGACCTCAGGAGAACCATGTGCAGCCCTTTCGAGCTTCGTTTTCATTGGGAGAGGGTTGCAGGATATCATGGCAGCCGAAAACAAAGTTTGGTAGACCACTTTAGCTGGCAGAGCACTCGGGCTACCACAGGCACCCCGACTTGAGTGACATCAAGCTGGCCACATCCACCCTGGCCAGCGCCCCCCACCCCGCCGAGGTCAAACACAGCCCTGATGCAGTCATCAATGAAATCACCCCTGCCCTACAGTAATAAATGGTAGAAAAATCACATGTAATTAATTATACTAAATGCCTTTCATTTCTAAAAAAAAAAAAAAAAAACCAAAACAGGGAGAGCGAATATAGGCTAAACCACCAAAAATGTTGTGGTCAGTACCCATCAATTCAATTACTGAATTAGAGATATATAGTGCAATATTGCATATTTTCC